GCCACCATGTTTGTATTGACTTATCATGAGAACAAACGTATTCACGGGACTTTAATAGCATTTCTTACTTAATGGAAACACTGCAGTTGCGAAGCTGTGTTTTTCGACATGAACAGAATATCGACAAAGATTTGCGCACATTTGCAGTGGAAACACTGCTACTGTGTAGTTTTACAAACACAAACTAATTGTAACATCTAACTTCAACAGTTGATGTGATATGTTACCTGTCTTACGTCCCGGTGGTTCTCTGACAGGTGGTGGTGGTCTGCTGGCCTGCTGAGAAGAAGGTGCTGGTGAAGGAGGTGGTGGTGGGGCATGGCTGCGTCCTTGGCTGCTACTTGACATGTGTTTTTTGCGCAGTGAGTTGTTCCTCTGGGGCAGCTGTGGAGCCCTAGGCCCGTCTGTTTGAAGAGGCCCATTGGAGATTAGATGAGATCTGTATGGTGGGGGAGGGGGCGGTGCAGATGAGCCACTAGTTGGTGGCCTGCTGGAAGACTGAGGTGGCTTCACAGTGTTAGAAGGAGTGGGGCCTCTGCTGGGCGTCGGTGGTTTCTCTCTGCTGTGRGAGGATGATGTGGGAGAGGGAGCCTTCTGGTGTGGGGCAGGGGGAGCATTACCACGACCGTTTTTGTTGAAGGGTGGAGGAGGAGGAGGTGGTGCAGAGGTGCTGTGCTTCATCCCACTGCTGGAAGAAGAGCTGCTGCTAGAAGAGCGCGAGATGTCCGGCAGCGAGGGGCGGTGCGAGCGCTGTTGCTCCGGTGGGGAGGGTTTGTTGGCTGGAGAGGGTGAGGTGGAGCGGCCTGTTGGGGGACGAGGTGCTGCAGGCCGAGTTCCAGGAGGTCGCAGAGCCGATCTACCATCAGAACCACCAGCAGAACCATCTGACAAGAGGACAGTAGTGATGACTACAAAGTACCAGAGTGACATTTACAGCTCATTTTCTTAATAAATCATCTTATTAAGTATACTTTAACGCTGAATGTAATGGACAAAGTGCTGGTACCTCAGCTTGTAATACTTTATACTTTTCTAATGTAAAATTGTGGCATCGCAACACAAGGTATTTATCTAAATAGTTATTTATCTAATATTCTAACTTGTAAACCAGGAAGCAGGCCTATTTCATGTGTTCTTGTGTTAATGTTCAAGCCACAGAAGTAAYTTCCAGGTTTAGACACTGGCTGTTAAATTGTGATTTAAAATACTACAGTTCATTTAATTACAAGAGATATTAATGCTGTTGATCTGTGTTTGTTTTTCATGACATTTTCATGGCTTGTGTTTAGTTATGCTGTTAGAGTGAAGAGACAGCTGTTTAGATTTTACTTCCTAAACTGCCAATGGTGGGCACCAGCCCGCTAAAGCGCAAATCCGCTAATTGCGTACCTAAATATTTCGTTTGCGCTTTAGCGGGCTGGTGCCCACCATTGGCAGTTTAGGAAGTAAAATCTAAACAGCTGTCTCTTCACTCTAACAG